GGAGCTGAGTACTAAGGAGATGTTTGATTCAACAGACTTCTCACCTCACTCTACACACACAAAATGTCTCAGAGTTTTACGAAGCTTTACCTGTCTTTGTAAAGCCGTTTAACAGCTGACTGAAAGTTTGCGTGATTTTTCAGTGCTTTGCATCTGGACTCTGTGATGAATTCCTCCGAAGGCAATTCTGCCAATCCCATCTCCCTGGCAAATTTATTCGCTCCTTCCCCCGCCAGTAAAATGTGCTCTGTCTGCCGAATAAACCAAGGGCATGAAGCATTCTGAACACTTAATACCAAATCAATATAGGAGGAAGAACACTTTATACATAGTAGGAAAGAAAGTAATCAGTATCTTTATTTATCCCATATTAGCACCAATACCCAAAGAAAACAACACCTGCAAATAAGTGCTAGGATTTTAGGACCATGAGTAACGCTTCTGAATTTTTTCTCCCCCGACATCATGTTAAATATGCCCACAGCTGCATTCGGTTTTGAATTTGCCCCCTCTGACACCCAAATCTGGACATGCCACTGCTACAGAGATCTCATCACTGAGCTATCAACCACGCTGCGATTGGCCAGTTCCAAATGTGACATAGCAGCTGCAGTTGTAAGAATGGACTTCCTTTCTGGAAGTTGACAGTAGAATTGAAAGCAAAGAAATTTCGTTATAAATTAATGGCTATCTACTCTGATTAATAATTCATCAATACCTTGGAAAGTTTAGCTAATCCTATTGGTTGAGAGCCCACCAAGTAAGCAGTCTTTAGCAGGGCCCAATTTCACGGCACTGCTTAGCATGTGTTTTCCCGCTTACAGAGGCTCTGCATATTTCATGGAGACAGTAAGCACAGCCAAAAGCATGCTTACCTCAGAGGAAAGATTTGCTGAAACTCAGTGACATAAAAATAGAAATCTCTGTGCGCGCACAACTGTTTGCACAACCATGCCAATTACTGCCACGACAAAGTGCTATAATGTTAGCAAATTTTTCTGCTAAAGTCAGCACAACTTTTCTGCTAACTGTCAAACATCTCTGTGAAACTGGGCCCAGGTGATACAGCACCAACTGGCTTTGCACTATCACCATAAGAAGATTGTTAATGACTGCTAGAACCAAAATACAGCTAGAGGGGTGTTCAAAGAAACAGAGGTACAGTTGGTGAACAAAATCATGGGAAATTTCTAATTTTTGTTTTTTTTGTCTTTCTGACTCAAAAGGTTAGCACTATGTATGAATGGCAATAAATATAAGCTTGGCTGGTCTTAAACCAGCACTTACAATGGGCTATGGAGAGTAGACACGACTAAAACAAAGCCGCAGTTGAGGACATCATTAACCTTTCTCTTGAGCAGGGTTTAAGACTGGCAAAGCCTATTCCCTTAAATATTTGAGTAGACAAAGCTTGTGGTATTAAGCCACTTTTACAAAACTCCGAAAAGTACCTGAGGTGCATGTAGGCTTCGAACACTTTTAAATTCTAAGTTAGTTCGGCAACATCCTGAACAGTTTACTTTTTATAAATGTACTTTAAGGCAACACAATCAAAACCGGCTGTAAACTTGGGACGAGGCAATACCTTTTCCATGACCAACCTTGCAAGGCTTACTGGGTTCTTAATGTTGTGAACACAAATCACACCCCCAGTTTGTAGGTCCCGGCCCTCCATGATGATAGCATCCATTTCAACACTGCCCTCTACTGTCAGTACAGATCCTCTCCCTTAAAAATGACGTAAATAAATGGTGCAATATTAATAAAAGCCAAACCTAAGAAAAATTCCAGAAAGTGGAGGTAGGGGGAGAGGGGAAAATGCAAAAGAAAAAGAAAATAAGGGAAATTGGGATTCCTAAATCCCTTTGAGCTGCTTGCAAAGTTAACGTATGGTCATGGACAACAGTGGATGAACAATGACAGATGAATACCTTGGTTACTGTTCATTGGAATTCTGAATAGCTCATAACTTGACTTTCCACCCAAAGGCTTATTATTGACTTGTGAGGATTTGTGAGAACGTCAGTTGACTTGATCAAGAAAGACTTGTGGTGGACTATTTTACCGTGCTGCTTGGAACAAAATAATCAATACATGCACCATTACACAGCACGGTCAAAATATCCAAACAAACTGAAAAAGACTGTAGTTTGGGATCAGGTAACACATATCCAGGTATGCCATGTATAACCAGAACTGAGCACACCACAGTGAAAACAATCCTCCTGCCCCGCATTTGATGGATCTTTAAGGATGCATCGGCTGCTGCCAACACACACCTGCATTAAATAACGGGTTATCTTCCAAGGAGCACACAGCTGCCTCTACTGCATCAATAGCCGATGACGTCTGCCCAACAAGATGCCTATATCCCAACCGAGCTGCTTGCTGAATGCCTGACTTGAGCCCATCCACATCCACGTAGCCTGTATGGCTTAACGCCCCAGCGCCACCATGGATCACAAGAGTTGGTGATGGCGCCATCATATTGGGATAGGATCACCTTCAAGAGAATGACATATCAACTTTACAAAACAGGACACATGAAAGTTGTTAGCAGCAATTCATCATGTAGCTCCTTCCTTTCATTTTCCATTTTTCTTATGGTTGCTTGCAGTAGTTTATACTAGCCATCAGAAATTGCTACTATGCCCTAAAAAGTCAACATCAAAGAATTTACTTATGCATAGCTACATGTAAAAACGATACGTCAACGAAGCAAATACGCAGATAACCTGAACGCGCCATCAGTAAGTGAGCGTTTCATTTTGCTCTATGGCAAAAAATGCAAATGCATGCGGGCATGTGATGCACATGAAGTTTGTCGTGACTATTTTTTTATCAGATTTTATTTTGGTACCCAATGCACGCACGTTAGCTGCTGCTAGCTGCTCCACTTAACACTGACTGAATTAAGGGAGTGACTTGAATAACTTAGCTGAACTTACTCATAAAAAAGACAGCCATTGAAAGACATGCTAACAAAATGGGATAACCTTGCTCGAATGCTGGGAAATATGTTTTAAAATGATCAGCTAGTGTGGATGTAAATAAACCTGTGCCATTGCTCTGTATGTGTGCATCTTATTCAAAAGATGCACTGACGCTAGTCGCGTTTGTTGTGCTTGTCAGTGCTTGTGTATTGAATGTATTTACTAAAATACATTATTCCATATTCATTCTATCTGATTTTGAATGTTTTACAAGCACACAAATGGATTCAAAATGTCTTCGCCCAAGACAGTGTCAAAATTTCCTAGACGGTGAACATGGTGTCGCTGTGAACATCGGACAGACCTCGGCAACGAGCAACTCTGCCCACAACTCCACTCGCACACAGCACAGTATTGTTCTACCCACAGTCCTTTCTGACCGATAATGAGAACAGTACACTTGACAAATAAAAGTCAATTACAACGTCTACGTTACTGAACTAACCTGACTTAGGTTGCGAACCCAGTGCCTGAACTGTGGACTCAACGGGTACCATTCACTATGGGACGGACACGGTGCTGTTACTGTTACTTAGTAATAGTACATGTAGGCCTACAGTACTGCAGTACTAGTAGCAGCAACCAAAGATCGTATAGCGCCGCGCTAGCGGAAGCGACCCGCCCACCTACCTACATGTACCTCACTACAATAGTCGTGGTTTTGGGTGAAGGCCTTTGTACTGAATGATAGAGGGCGCATCTCCCCACACAATTTTTTTTTCCGCACGTGTGTAATCTTCATCTGTTTCTCGGGAGCTTACCGAACTTTCCGGGGTACTCATCAGTCGCAATGTAACTTAGACATAAATATTCATATCAGCAGGTCGTAGAAAGAGGCCAGGGACTAACCTGTGGAGTTAACACTGCATAAAATAGGCTCCTTTTGACGACACTAGGCCTACAGGTAAGGTATGCAGAGGCTAGAGGCCAGGATTTCCTGAGCAAATGAATGGTGGCGAGATCATCATGTCAGTGGAAAAAATGATCCACTAACAGCTGATGGATGGGAAGCAAAAATCTTCAGTGTCATTGCTTCAGTGCTGGCCCCAGAGCACAAAAATACCAACATGGGGAAGGAATCCAGGACATGCAGTTCAGTGCCCATTGACGAATTTGTGAAAACAATTCGACGTTCATTTGATCGATACGCAGTGCTATCACACTAGAGGGAGTATAGTTCCTCTTGGACTCTCTGAAGGGCAGTCCAAGAGTTGAGGCCAAGGCTTTGTTCAACAATTGAAAGACAGCAAGGAAGGTTCTTGCCTGCAGTATATGAAAGACTCGTTTGGGGAGGGACTGACCAGCGGTAAACTCAAGCGTGGCCTGCTTGACCGCCGACAGTGGGAGAAATTGTGCGCGATTTTTCTGTACGTGGCACTTCAACGCCGTTTCCCTCGCTAACAAAATAGAAGACCTACCAAGATCCAGACTGCATGTTGAAAGAGCAATCTGTTGATGGCCTCAAGGGGAGGGGTTGCCGTAACCTCCTTAACCGCTGTCCAGCTATGACCTTCGTAGAGCCTAGAAACTGCGCAAAAAGAGAGCTGAGAGGGGCGACGGTGAAAAGTGGTTGCCGAGAAAATAGGCAATGTCAGTTACGGTTGAGGATAGTTCCTTTACCCAGCTAGAAGAGAAGGTGGACAAGCTGCAGCGAGCGACTGAAGTCCTTGCCCTGAAGTCTACTCCACCACGGCCAGACATTGGCCCAATACAGAGTTACTTGAGTTGCCCACCCCAACTGGGGCAGTAAGTACCTATGCAAGGGGCATGGCGTTATTGACCGCCGCAGGGCCCCCTACAATTTTACAGGGCAGGGGCATTTTGCCCACAATTGTTCCCTTCACCGTCAGAGACAGCCAGAGAAGCAGAACCAGCTCTACGTCTACCGCCACCGACCTCAAGCAAAAAAAAAAAAAAAAAAAAAAAAATCGGCAGGAAAACCAGTGCCCTTTGATGTCGGGAGCCAGTTAACTGGAGTGGAGCGGAATGGCTGCATTTCTGCTTGACAAAGCAGTTTCCAACTGTTACTCCGTCATTGTCTGGTACACATCATTCAATCGGCCTGCTTGTATTTAAATTGTTCTGAGCAAATGATTTTGTGTAAATCAATGGTCCAAACAGGCGGACTCTCCGCTAAGGGGGCGACTTGATTAGGAGGAGATTTTGGCAGGGGGTGAGTTGGCGAGAAGCGAGATTGTCAGGGGGCAAGTTGGCAAGGGGGTGAGTCATCAAGAGGCGAGTCGGCTAGGAGGCGAGTTGACCTGGCTTTTTTTAAGGCAGATTTGAGGGCACTTTTTATTGGAGCAAACTTAGCAGCAAGACTCATACTTATTAACACAGCAAGGAAAACACAAATGTTAGCCCATCAGGCATACTTGGAATGAATTTTGGGGAGAATGATGGAGTCAGCTGGTTGGAGACTCTGGTCAGGGTCACCTGAAACAGCTTCACCCTGCCAGACAAGGGCCAGCGTTGGAGAGAGCTTTCGCAGCAGCAGCAGAGAAGAGTCAACTTTATAGCAAACGATGGGATGATAAGCCGTGCATACTTACCAAAAGAGTGTGCTGTAGTGGTTCCTCGGGTTGAGACAGTGACACTTCAAGCAACTACCCGTCCAGGTCCTGATGGCATGAGCCACGAGGCAGTCTGGAACCAGACCAATCAAGCCTACCCTTCTCTCAACAACTTGGACAATTTTGGGTCTTTGTGTCAAACAGCATGTTTATAGTGGCTTTGACGAATAAGAATTTGTATCATGGAGAGTTAGTTGAATCAACACCCCTTGTGTCCAAATAGTGTTCAAGTTCTTCTCGTCAATGAAGGCATCCAACCTTGCAGGTGTGCAGAACAGAAACTTTCAGACGGAGATGAAGATGACGGCCCAGGAACATGAGAAGTTCGAGTAGCTGTTGTAAGCATGAGGTTTTTCTAGACATGACCAAGACATTGTTTTTTGTGACACATTGAAGCACACTATTGAGACAGGTGATGGCGCCCCAATTCGATAGCGATACAGATCACGACCTCATCACAGCACCAAGAAGTCTGAAGGCACAGAAGAACTCGTTAATGCAGGAAATCGTGAAAGTGTAAGCCCAGGGGCATTGCCGCTAGTGGTTGTGAGGAAGAAGGACCAGTTCATCCGTATGCATGAATTACAGAAGGTTCAACTCGGTCACGACCGAAACTTCCATACCTCCACCCCACATGGACGAGTTGCTGCAGGTTCTAGGGGAGCAAACTACATCAGTGTCCGCGATTTAATCTTTGGGTACTACCAGGTGGCAATGAACGAAAAGGATCCAAAGAACACCGCGTTTGTGATGCATCCGGACCATGGGAGTACACAATGATGCCGTTTAGGCTTTGCAAGAGTCTAGCCAATCTCCATCGATTGATGCAACGTTGCCTCGACGACCAAGTCCTTCGGAGCATCCTTATGGTTGGATGGCATCATCATAGAGTAACAGTAATACAGAAGTAGACCAACATTACGTCAGTGATCATAATCTTGTTTTATACAACCATTAATAAAACAATCTTGAAACAGCTAGATGTGACATATTCCTGTCACATACTTAAACAAACATTACTGTTGTGTTTATGTTGTTTATGTCACCGTATTATGTTCTAAACATATATCATTACTATTTACCAACAATCAGAGTATCGCTATTATCGTTTTTGTCGGTGGTTATCAAAATCTAACTACAACTCAAAAACCCGCAACCTCACATCAGCTTTGTTCAATATGTGCTATCTATTTCAATATCAGCAATAATCATTATGTGTAATCCTATAGCAATGTCCACCAAGGAACCCCATAAATATATTGTAAGTATACTGCTTATACATGTACATGTATACGTATGGTCACCATGGTTTTACAAACTGTCCTAATACAAAATGTTACTCGTATTTAAATAAAGGTACAGTATTTCTTATTTGTTAGATATTCTTCAGGCAATAAAATCCTGCTGACGGACTTTACCTACTTTCAAACTCACATTGTTATTCCCATCCTCGTTCATCCTTATCGCGTCAATCACACACCTTTTCATATTCTTCCCTGTAAAGCCTCCATTGTATAACGATGCATAACGATGTCCCATGGACTCTTAGACTACCAAATGGGGTCAAGCTACCAACCAACACCAAAAAGCCTTCCAAGACAATAATGCTATTATGCACAAGCGCACGTATGCCACCAAATAACCATTCTTCCGCCTATTTCTATTTCATACTTATGCATTTCAGTCTAATATGGTAATTAGAAAGACATTCTACCAGGTTTAAAGATTACACTACTGCTAAGAAGGGCAACAGTACCCATACGAATTATAAATATTTGATTTTTGCCTGGTAGTGTCATAAAATGTGACATACGCAACACTGACAAGGTTCCAACGGCTCCTAGACTGAAAATTAAACATAATTTAGTTGAAAACACAAAGGATCTAGGCCTACACCAACATTTCTCTTGCCATTCCTCAGTACGTGGTGACCACATCTTCTCCTGGATACACCCCATAATGCAACTGACCATTCTGAACCGATGCCCAGATCATGGCCTTTGTGTTGAAGTAGTACCCAAAGTCCCCGTTTTTGCTCACAGCTATAGCGCCTCCTGGTGCACCCCTTCGCTCCTGCATAAAGTTCAGAGCTTTCTCTACTGCGTCTTGCGGTGACAAACCTGCAAAATGAGAAAAAAAATGAACTCGTCACTATAAAAAAAATTTTGTAAACGAAAAGGAACCATTTTGTTAGAAGTAACGGTTTGAATAAAGAAATTAACAAGTAAACATTGGCATAATTATTCCCAGACAGCACACCAAAGCAAATAACGATTTCACTTTTGGCATAGCTTTTGAACTGCGAGTTGATTCATCTTTGACCAGTTCAAAATTTCATTAATGATTGCTTAATTAAACCTTGACAAGCAATGATGCATACGGATAATTTGAAATTTTCTCACCAGTTGCCTAAAACATGGGCATGTTTGCCAACACAAATTGTTGGCATGCTTGCCACAACAGCAAGGCATAGCCCCAAATCCTTGCTAAGCTTAGTATGCGTGCCTCTGTGTGCCAACCTTCACTTTTACTATAGCCCCACTAGATCAGTTGGGTGTTAGCCCCAATTTGTCATGTGACTTTAAAAATATGTCAAAATTACTTGATTGCTTATTCAAATTACATAACAGCACACCGTGTTACCCACCGCTCGGAAATTGGTAAGCCCACCATCACATGTGTTTTAGCACACTATTCACAAATATTGAGCACGACCTTTCAAGTTGTTAACATTCATATTCAAAGTCTTGGTTGGAAACTGTTCATCAATTTAAAAGTCAATTTCCCACGCGAAAAAAGCACCCTAGTGGAACGCCAGACAGCATAATCTCAACCACAGAGTTAAGTCGCACAAATTAAAACGAGAGACTTAGCAACACAAAGTGAAGTGGAAATGTTTACTATCCATTAATTAAAGAAAGATATACACTTTCACTGCAATAACCGCTTAATCTAAAAACTGCTCTGAAGGAAACAAAGACACTTTCCCCTGTATACAACCATAACTGCTTACCTTGACAATATATGAAATAATAATGGATATCAATCTTGACATGCTTGCCCAAAACTAAATCCTTCGCAAGTGTATTTGTTGTTGGGTATTTTGGAAAGACAACCAAAAACTCACTGGCATGTTCTAGGCATGATTCTACAAAATATCTGAAAAAACGCAATAGTTGACAAACAAGACCACTATATAAAAGACCAATTGTTAACGTCCTTGGCATGCTTGCTCCCAAAAATAGGTGCAGTGGCCAAATAAAGGCCAATAATTCGAGACGGATGTCATGGACAGGTGCAAACCCAAAATGAGGAATTTTTAAAAGCATAATGTCTTGACATGCTCGCCACAAAGCCAGAGCACATCCAGCATTTACTGTCAGTGCCATCAGTGATATGCTCATCAGACCACTTATTAAAAAAGCGCATCCTTGCCGTGAAATTCGGGAACATTTGCTCAAATAAGTGCACACCCCAATATGACTGTAAACTGCCTTGGAACACTTTTCACAAAACTAGAGAACATCTGAAAGTTTCTAACACTGCCAGCAGTGCATACTTTGACCATATGATTAAAAAACTCAAAACTCCTCGCTCGTCTGTTGCAAAATCTGGGCAGATTTGCCTAACTATTGCCAATTGCAAGAAGTGCACACCTTGACAGCTTGTTAAAACAATAACTGTATACAACCTAGACAAATGCCACATGCAAACGCAGAGCAGGTTTCCAAACATTTGTTATTTTGCCTTCAGTATCAACTTCCATCATTTTGTGTTGGAAGAATAATCAGAAAAGACAATAGTCAGTGAAAACAAAGTAGTAAATGCTTAACATAGCTCCTAATAATTAAAACATATCCGGTATTGCCCAAAGAATTTATTATTGCTCGAGCAAAAACGGAGGAAACCTCATTGCAGCCAACAGACACATCAAGCATACATTTATACTAAACAATAATAGCTGGTTGTAAAAAAGGCCCTTACCTTGATCAATTAGATGACAGTGTTTATGACCCCTACAAACAAGCACATGCAGTGTAGTGACAAACGTCTCGTTACAAAAAGTTTGAAACAGGAACCAACTCGACAGGAAATCCGTACGGCAAGGGATTTTCTACCCTGAAACCACCAACAGTGAGTGTAGCAAACATCCAAATGAGATGATTCTCAATTAGCAAAGCCCATGTGTTTACTACATCAACACTGGTCTGTGAGACACCCAAGTGTCACTCAGTTGATGCAGAGGTGGCCCTGTGATGAAATTATAATATTTTTGGACTGGAAAGTGTGATTAAGTGCTGTTTCTTACATACCCTGCTCCATGTGGAACACCAAGTTGCGAGCCAGTGTGACCTTCGCTATTTCTTCACCGCGACCCGTGGTTGACGCCGCGCCGACCGCATTGTCACAATATACACCATTCCCTGCAAAAGATACACACAAAATCGTTTCAGGTTTCTGCCAAGAAGTTTTAAAAAGTGAGATCTATAAAACCAAAATACCTTTGGGGCCAACCTCTGCCTAATGTGAAACTGCAACAGGACGAGAATTCTGACCAGCGTTGGCTGCCTAACAATACTATCAATATACCGTAAGATATTCAATGGAGAATTTGAACAGAAAGATACATGTATATACATAAGGCAAATGGCTGTACAAGCTGGTATTTTCTGAGATCAATTTTCCTGACTTTAACAAAATCACTCCACGCAAGGGCCGCTACATATGAAGACGATTCCTCTTTACTTGGAAGTATATAAACGTATAGGGCTGACTCAACAGCACTGCCTTTACCCGAACCCAAAATACTATGTCTTCACAACCAACACGTAAGCAACTGGCTATTTTCTGGCATTTCCAGCTATTTAAAGACGCATGAAAGGCTTGTGGATGAGGATCATTCTTTAAATTTGGTGTTCAAACGGAATCTAAGGCCAGGAAGAAAGGACGTTCAAAGGACAACAGCTTTGTGTCCCTGGTACACCTGAACCATGACCCGTTAGACATAAATCATAACTGGAATTGCTTTTCAACTATTTTTATTTGTTGGCAGGTGCATTGCAACTCTTAATCACTCCTGTAGATTAAAGAATCGTTGTAAACTTACACAGTTGTAAGTCAGACGGGACAAGGAAACGAAAAAAATCTGGGCCACATATTTATAGAACGACCTGCAAGACACTTGCCTCTAATGACTGTGGCTTGAGTTTCTGTTCGCAGCATGGGCTGTATGTGACAGGCGTTGTGGGTAAATTCCCTCCGGTTTTCTAACCTTCAACAATTTCAATTTCTGGCTATGCCCTATAGTCCGATCTGGGTTGATGTTGGGGGGCGCCTTTGTGCACCTTCATCTTGACCGCATTGTAGCTGCACCCTTAACACATTTGTGACTGAAGCAGAGTTGGCTGGCTGGTTGTTGCTTGCACATGAACTCTGCCACTTAACATGACTCTAAATGTAACTAAATTTACCTACGTCTAGACCATTTCGATGTTTTCCTTACCAATGAGGGGAGAGTCACCAACTCGTCCAATCATCTGACCTGTGATGCCACCAGTAGAGGTGGCAGCAGCTACATTGCCGTGGGCATCGACAGCAACAGCTCCTACGGTGTCGTGATCATCTATACCCAACTCCCTGTAGGAGAAATACCCATCACGATGGAGGGGGACTCGAGCCCGCGACCTCCAATCAATGAATTGTATATTGGACCTTCCAATGTATCAAATATTCAAGCATCCACTCATACCAAATTATCACCAAAGCAGGAACAAACTACATGTACGCATGTTTGCGTGGTGGTCTTCACCCCTCAGTTAAAGAAAAAGCTGGGATCTGGAGGCAAACTGATGTTTGGCACTAATTGGTGTTTTATTCCCTGGTCCTAGCAAGATCAAACTCAACAACAAAGAAAATAAAACAAAGAGAAAAATGTGAAGGAAAGGTTCCTTTTAGCCTTCTTGTTGGTCATAGCTGCATCAGCTGCCTTTAGATGTACTTGTACTACCATGAAATATACTTTTATTACAGTGCAATTTTGAAAGCAATAACAAAACGTTTTCCCTTTTTTATTCCAAGGGCACTGAGTTTGGTAATTGACTAACTTCTGAATGTTAATCATCAGGGACTGCAAAACTGGACTAGTGATTAAAAAAGAGCATTCTTGCTTCAAAATAGGCCTAGGCCTACTAAAGTGAGTTCTGGGGTCCCAAGTTTCTTAAATTCTTCTCTTTTCCTATGCTGTTGCATTTTTTTTATAATTTGGCCAGTTCTGATACATACATGTAAAGGTCAAGTCATACTTCATGCAAAAGCGAATGTGAGTAGGACTATGTAATAAATTCGCAACAGTTAAACACATTTCAACTCGAGTGAAATACTCGAGTAACGTTAATAAGAGCAAAGGATAACATGTTTGATTCAGGAGAAGTTAATCCTTCACTCTATAAACTCAAAATGTATCACTGTTTTGCTAAGCTTTACCTGTCTTTGTCATGAATCTGTTTGCCAGCTCGCTGAAACTCTAGGTAATTTTCCAGTTGTTTACGTCTGGGCTCTGTGATGAATTCCTCCGGCGGCATTTCTACCACTCCGACCTCCCTGGCAAATTTATTCGCTCCTTCCCCCGCCAGTAAAACGTGTTCTGTCTGCCGAATGAATCATGGGCATGAAGCATTCTGAACGCTTACACTGAATCGGTACAAAGGCACTGATTACCGTCTCACACCTGTGATTGTGCATGTCTGTCATTTTGTCTCCCCCCCCCGTCTTTCTCTCTCTCTCCCTCTCTCTCTCCCCCTCTCTCCTTGGGCTGGGGGGAACGCCTTTACTCCCATCTCGACGCAACCTAGATGCTGACTAATTTCTTTAACAAATTTCATAATATCATTGTAATGCATGTATTGCTTAAATCGTTATGCAACCTGCATCTATGCGAATTCTGGCAGCAATAGAATAACGAATGAATACGTTGTACGATGTATATCCAGATGAGGGTATAGATAAGCACATCCCTATGCCCAAGCCGTAAACTTTCAGGGAACACGATCAAAATGAGTTAATCCATGTTGTGGAATGCCAGTGAGGTCTATCACTGACTTTTGGGGGATGGGGGGGCATTTTTACAGTGTGTAACATTTTGTGTCACGGTATCAATATCGGACAAGGCAATACCTTTTCCATGACCAATCTCGCAAGGCTCACTGGGTTCTGGATGTTGCGCACACAAGTCACACCCCCAGCTCGTAGGTCCCGGCCCTCCATGATGATAGCGTCCATTTCAACAGTGCCCCCCAGTGTGAGCTCAGATCCTCTTCCTTACAATTAAATCAATAAATGGAGTACAAGTGGAAGTAGCGGGAAGGGAAAAAGTAAAAGAAACAGGAAAAAGGAAAATTGGAATCCCTAAATCACTTTGAGCTGCATATGTTGCAATTCGACCTCATAGCCGGCTCGCTAAAAGTCAAAGTATGGTCACAAGTAACAGCAGACGAACAATGACAAATGAATACCTTGGTTACTGTTCATTGGAATTCTGAATAGCTTCTGACTTGACTTTCTTGTGATTGACTTGTGAGGATTTTTGAGAACCTCAGTTCACTCGAGAAAGACTTGTGATGGACTATTGTACTGTGCTACTCGGGGGGAAAAACGAATGCATGTAACATTACACGGCACAGTCAAAATATCTAAACAAACTAAAGAGACTGTAGTTTGGGGTTGGGAGCAGATAAACACATTTCTATCCAAGTATACAGTAAGAAGATGGAAGGTGCGACGTCTTCCCGATAACCAAAATTGGGCACATCGCGGTCAAAAGACCCCCCCCCCCATCTATCTTATCTATCTTTTTGGTTGAATCGGCTGCTGCCAACACACACCTGCATTAAATAACGGGTTATCTTCCAAGGAGCACACGGCTGCCTCTACTGCATCAATAGCCGATGACGTCTGCCCAACAAGATGCCTATATCCCAACCGAGCTGCTTGCTGAATGCCTGACTTGAGCCCATCCACATCCACGTAGCCTGTATGGCTTAACGCCCCAGCGCCACCATGGATCACAAGAGTTGGTGATGGCGCCATCATATTGGGATAGGATCACCTTCAAGAGAATGACATATCAACTTAACAAAACAGTTCTAATAGTTGTGACCAGCAATTCGTCACATAGGACCCAACAGACATCATTAATTTTCCCTTTATAATTTAAGACTAATCGCTAAAACTGAGCGGCTGATTTTGTAGAAAAGCATTTGTGGGAAGGGAAAATTAAAACATTTAGATGCAGCCTACATGTAGAATTTTTTAAACCAGTTGTAAGAATTTCTGGTCGAACTAAAAGGGAAAAAAGGTAGAGAAGGAAAATCAACTCTCGTGGCTTTGTTTTTGGAGATAACACAAGCCTTTTTTGAACACTTAGACATGATCGGGGGAACAGTTTATTAATAGTGATCAAGCCCAATGCCTGGGGAAACAGTTCCATAAACAGGTATGATGGATGTCACTTGATAGCCTGTGCACAAACGTTGACTAAGAATGGTCTGAAAAATTCGAAGTATTTTCTAAGTAACGTTAGACCTTAACACTAATAGCATGGGCAGATATGGGGGAGGTGATGGCGAATATGCATGTATCCCCCCACGTTTTGACCTAGAGGATTACAAATATAATCATCTCTCCACTTTTAAGTCACTGACTATAGGCTCTGCTGAAGTCATCCCCCACATGTGACAAGAAACCTACGCCCATGTCTAACAGTTGGCACACTTCAATAGTTTATCCTGCTCAATTTCTGGACATATCGGGATAGCGAAGTTCGGGGCCCCCTTTTCTATAGAAGAATTAGATTTAAGCTTTTATACTCACTTAACTAGATTGACTATGACAATATTTCGCCCAACTGCAGTCTTATTTTGTAGAAAGAAGGCAGGTTTTGATTTGTGAGGGAAATTGTGGTATAAAAACATTGACATCAACACACGTAAATGACACAAGTCAGTCATATCAACTGAGAGACTAGTTCCGTCAACAGAGCTCTTTTAAGCACTAACTTCTCACTCCCCGCAGGTAAAAAATTCACGCCGTCATTGGCAAAAACATTTCCAATCATTTGTGTAACTTGTACAACATTCAAAATCAGACAGAATGTATTGAATTGTATTCTAAAAAGTCACGTAAAAATTATTTATAAAAAAGGCAAAAGATGGTCACTTAATTAACATGCACGTGGCACATTGTGTCTGGGACACTGTTGGCTGTCAGAAACATGCATGCCACGAACGTTAGTGTACCCGACTGACCCGACTTTGTTTTCCATAACAACATGTGTGTAATGTCATCAAGTAACACCTTGCCTGTCGTACTTGTCAGAATGCTAGTCATCATGTACACAACTGCAGTTTTTTGAAAACAATAGACATAACATTTTACCCACCGCCAACCCTGCATCAAAGAGGCATTTCATTCTGGTTTGCTTGTTTTTTAATTTTTTTTTTCTTAGGATGCAGGATTTTCTTTGTAAGCTAAAGTATCGTCCCCGCATAAACATTGGTTGCAAGTGTAAGGAAGACGGACAGTAAGACAATCGAAAAGTAACGTCTTAATTATACAGAGTTTATTTCACAAAAGGCCAATTAAAATTACCTCCCTGTTAATCATTACCGCCCGACGGGATTTCCGACTTTTTTATAATGAATTTCCGACTTGTTTTTGTTTTTTTTCGGTTTTTATTATCAGGTCTTGCCTCAACCGTAATCCATTGATTTGATCATGCTGTTATGATATATGGAACACTCAGGTATTAAAATACTGTACAAGAAATGTATTTTGAGAGTGAAAAGTCTGGAAAATACTAAGTTGAAATATCAAATGTCCTCCGCGGCCCCAAATTATGACTTTGAGTGATGATAAACAAATGTCAACTTTTGGGGGTTAACCCTAACTCCCTAGGGTGTGTGCAAAATCATATTAAAATTGCAGGATTCAGGACTGTTAGGATTAATGAAGTGTCCAGGTTTGTTACAATAAACTGTGATCCATTACTAAATTCAATTCCTTTATAACCCCATTCCTTTATTCCTATACTCTTATATTTCCCGAATACCAGGTCGTTTTTGTTCAACTGTGGACTTGGCTTTCCGGACTGCACGTACATGTATAACCATGGTACAATAAAGAAAGGTGTGCGGAGTAACGATCGACACCCTACGGTGTTTAGCCAACGAGTCTCCACACAAACAAGCACAATACATGTACTACATATGCGCTACACGTGAACCTTTCACGATCAAGATTTAATAATATAAACTCCAAAATCACTCATTCAGCGATTTGCTCTGACCCTGATATTAATCAAGTCAGGTCGGACATTATGAAATAACAGCTTGAGAAAGTAAAAACACTAGAAATCAGCTATATTAAAAAGTTGGTTTTCGTGGTGAAAGTTTAATAACAATGATACCCACATCAGAAAGGAAATGTCCACTTGCCCTGCCCTGTGGCGGGCCGGCCACGTCCGCATGTCTTCACAAAACTAAAAGCAGCCGCAACTTATGAAGCACGTTTCTGCGTGCGCGACCAAGTCGTGCACAGCTGCTGCTAAGAACGATATTGTCAAAATCGTAGACTTCTGTTACAGCTTAAGAATGTATCTTTCATTTTAGGGCATTCATTGTCAAAAATGTGGTAAAATGACTCCATCATAACTGTTGTCCAAAAACCACAGGAAAATCGCATCCAAAAATGTGGCCAAATTTTCCTATTTTCCAGTTGGCTACAGTTTCAATTTACACTAATTTCACTTCAGTTTATGACCTACTCAAAAATGTATTTTTTATCCACCAATTTCTCTATAGCTGACTCAGGGCGCAACCCTTCTGATGTGTTGACCATTAACAGAACGATCATCATTACGGGACGAAGTCCAATCTAATGCTACGGTCTCGAGCCCTAAATTCTGGTGTTTGAGAGGCCGCTGATGACAACAAATTTTTATGTAGTCGGCAGAAACTAGGCTTGCTTAATAGCTGCATGGTATGGTGACCTCTGGCCCGAACGTAGAGACTCCGGTGCAGTTGTAGTATGTTTATACATGTACTGTATGTAAGGAGGATGATTGTAATTTTCTACATGTACAATAACTTTAGTTCCCTCCCCCCTCGAAAACAATTTTCTTTTTTAAGCTACACCCTCCCCCTGGTAAGGTAACATCATTCTTACAGTAATTAGACCCTTGAACAAAGAGTCCCTTTGATTTAGCACCATGTGCTCAGCATTCCTTCTAGACCCACTCAGTTTGCAGACTGGCAGTGAAGCGGAGCACACACCACATTTTTATGAGTTTTCTGCCTCTCGCTTAGTCTGCCGTTTTACTCGGTTGTCAAAGCTGTTGTGTTTATTGCTTTGCAACCCTCTTATATGCTTCCGGTTTTCTCTAGTTTTGCTTGTGGTTAGGTTTTCGTTTTTTTGTTGAAATTCATTCTTTTTTTTTTTGCTTGTATTTGCTTGACTTTAAATTTTGTTGAATCCACGCTCCTATTTTTTTTGACCAGCAAAGTTTCATTGGCATCTAATTTTGTTGTAGTTTGACGCAGTTTCATTAAGTGCATTTTTTGAAGATCAAAGTTAATCTAGTCCCATTCTGTCCAGACATCACTGGTTCTTCAATTGTTTTAGATCACCAGTTTGATTGAGTTTGTGGTTAAACAATTCCTTTTTTTATAGCGTTGTTTGGATTCTGTTGAGCATTGCCCCTAAGCAATAAATTTTGGAATTTCTTTTTTTTCCCTCCTTTCTATAAAATTTGCGGTCGTCTGCCTTCACCTAATTTTCCTTGCGACTCCTCTCTACCCGATCAAATTTGAAGTTTTTATTTTAGCGAGTTCCCAAATTCTGTTTTTTTTTTTTTTTGTTTGTTTATTCCAACTTAGTTTAGGGTGCCATTTTTCCGTGCTACATTTTTTCCCTTTCTTTTGATGGACAATCCGGGTAGGGAGCATTTTCCATTGGAACTTAGCCAGGTGTTTTAGTGTTAAGAGGCAGTTGTTTTTTTTTCCTAGGGTAAGCCAACACAGTATATCAGGTTGGGAAGCTTTGCATTACCAATGGCCGAAACACCGAGGATGTCGGTGCCCATGTCTATGGCACCAAGCACCCCTCCACAACTAACACTGTACCCCTACGGAGAGGGTCCGCTTCTCCATCAATCACCTGCAGTGAAGGGAAAGACTGACTACCAGCCCCAGCATTTCATGGCAGCCCCCCAGCCAGTAGCTGCCTCCCCACTCCATCTCGCCGATTTTGACCCCATCCCGATGAAGAATGATGATGGCTATCAGCTACCAAGTCAACAGTCAAGAATGCTGACAACACACCAGGTGAAGGGTGTGGCCACATTCAATGGCAAGGAGAAGCATGGCCCCAGATTGGAGGACTGGATCTGGGACAGACGGCGCACTACCCTTTACACCATGAGTGAGCTTGCCCAGAGTTTGCCTCAACAGAAGACTGAGGGGAGGCCCCAGAAACAGTCACCAGTAGTGAAGGAGACCACTTCTCCTGCACCAAGCGATGCCATCACCCCTGCTTTTTAGCAACTCCTGTCCAAACAGATGGAAGAAATGAAGGCAATGTGTCAGGAACATGTCGCAGCAATGGGCCGATTTCTAAATGCCCAGCAGCAGCACGGACAACGGCTGATGCATCTCGAAGCCGTCGTGTTCCCACCGCAGTACCGAGTCAGCCACGTCAGAAGGCTCCATACACAGGATGCTTCAACTGTGAAGACATGAGACACCTCGACAGGAATTGCCCCGAGGACCGTCGAGTGCCCCCTCAAGCCAAACGCGTGGCACAGAATGACCAAGAGGCCCGGGTCCCAACCCAAACCGTTCCATTCCCACCAGCTCAAGCCCATACAAAGGAGGTCCCGTTAAACGAGCAGAAACTGCGGATCATAGGGCGGTCAGCGGGTTCATCGAGCAAATGCCCACCTAGTCAAACCGGTCTGACCCCCGATCGTCCAGACAAAGTCCAAACAGCAGCTGACAACCATGTAGGAGGGGAGGTTCGAAGCTTTTTGATTCGTAAATGCAGATGGCGCTGACATTGCTCATGCAGATGGAGAGATTGGACATTTGCGGTTTAATGGGAAGCATCCACTGAAGATTCGACCGGGGACAGAGGATTCTTTCTTGGCTCAAGCCCCACGTGTTACCAGGGAAAAGAAAGTTTACAGCCTTGGTGGGCGGAAAGGATGGGCCACTAGCAGTTGGTCGACTGTTGGTGGAAGTGGCTGGTGGTAAGGCGCCGGTCAAGCTCCTGAGCACCTCGAGTGAAGTGGTGACCATCCGGCGTAATATGAAAGTCGCCACACTGTCATGTATCACAGCTGTGTGCGAGGCACCTTCAGGCCAAGGAGGAGTGGTGACCTCAGAACAGAAAGTTCACAGTGGACAGGAAATACCGGAGGTAGACTTATCTGAGGCAGCTTTGTCCTCAGCTGAAAGGAAAGCTGTGGAGAAACTGCTTGCCCGAAACAACGATGTGTTTTCTACTAACTCCCTTGACATGGGTTGCACCTCGACAGTGCTGCACGAGATACCCCTTGTTGATTCACGCCCTTTTCGGTTACCTTATCGACGAATTCCACCCTCCCAATTCCAAGAGGTGCGGGAACACATCGAAGAGTTGAAGACCAATGGCATTATAAAGCCAAGTCAGAGCCCATTCGCCTCACCGATTGTTACAGTGCGAAAAAAGGATGGTCGCATACGTCTCTGTGTTGATTACCGACAGCTGAATGCGAGAACTGTCCGTGATGCTCATCCCGTTCCCCGAATCCCTTGATGCACTGGGTAACGCTAAGTACTTCTCCTGCCTAGACCTGACCTCAGGCTACCTACAGGTGCAGATGGCAGAGCAAGACCGCCAGAAGACAGCCTTCACCACTCCGATGGGGCTCTTCGAATACACACGCATGCCGTTCGGTTTGACTAATGCACCGGCGACCTTCCAACGGTTGATGACCATGGTCTTTAGGGACCTGAACTACTCTCAAGTCCTGATTTACTTGGATGACATTGTGGTCTTCAGCACCACCATTGAGGAACACTTGCAGCGATTGGAAAGGGTGTTCGCGAGGCTCAGGGAACATGGCTTAAAGCTCAAGCCCTCTAAGTGCCATCTGTTCCAGACGGAGGTCGGTTACCTTGGGCACGTGATATCCGAGAAGGGAATTTCGACTGATCCAGCAAAGCTTGAGGTAGTTAAGCGATGGCCAACCCCTACGAACAAGAAGGATGTCCGGTCTTTCTTAGGCTTCACTGGGTACCATAGGAGATTTATCAGGAGTTACGCCCAAATAGCCAAGCCATTGTTTGGGTTGATATGTGGAAAGAGAGGTGTTAGAGATGGGCCGTTCGTATGGAGTGCAGATTGCCAGGTTGCATTCTAAACACTCATTGAGAAGGTGACGACGGCACCCATCCTCGCTTTCGCCGACTACCAACAGCCGTTCTTTGTTCAGACCGATGCTTCAGGTGATGGCCTCTGAGCCGTGTTGGTGCAGAAAGAAAATGGCAAAGAAAGGGTGATTGCCTACGCTAGTCGAACCCTTACTGCGGCAGAGTCGAAGTATCCAGCCCACAAGCTGGAATCTCGGGCACTTCATTGGGCAGTGACGGTGAAATTCCGAGAGTATTCGTATGGGCAGAAGGTAACGGCCATCACGGATAACAATCCGTTGATCTGCGTCATGAAAAAGGCCAAGCTTGATGCTCATAGCCAGTGGTGGGTCAGCGACCTCTCTGTGTTCGACCTGAATATTGTGTATCGGCCGGGGAGAGCTAACGCCAACGCTGATGCTCTGTCGAGAATTCCTAGGGAGAAGGTTAACCAGGTCCTTGATGAGAAGAATCAGAGAATGTCGGTCCCTAGAGAAGCTTCAGGTGACTCTGTAATGAGTGCCAATCTCACTGGAGATGCCAAAGTGACGGGTTCCACCCATCCTGTTTCACAGCAAGCTCCGCGAGATGAGTCTGCCATCGATGGTGTGATAGAGATCCATCAGATTATCCAAAACGACGGATGTGACACAACTTCGACATCCGGCTCATGACATCCAGACACGAGTCCACCGGACACTCCCCGTTTCATCTGATGTTCCTGAAAAAAACCAAAGGTACCCGTTGACCTGCTTTGTCCAGCCACAGCGACAGACCCAGAGCAGTCCTGGTCCCTCAACATACGTCCAGCAACTCAGACAGCATATGCACAAGGTCTTTCTGGAGGTACAGCAGGCTGCGGAGAAGTCAAGGGCCAGACAGAAAGCAGGGTATGACAAGAAGGTGCGTGAAAGTGTCTTACAACCAGGAGACAGAGTCCTTGTGGCCAACACGTCGGAGCGAGGGAAGTCGAAGTTAAAGGACCGGTGGGAAGCCGTCCCGCATGTAGTGGTACCGAAATTGCAGGGCATTCCGTCTTATATTGTGCAGAGAGTCGGCACCCTGGTTGTGAGAACCCTGCACCGCAACATGCTGATGTTGTGTCCGTTCCATGTGACTCCCTCCGAAGCTTCAACTTCTGGACAAGACGAGACTGACACGGCGGTAGGCGTACCTGTAGTCCCACTACCAGATGGCTTCAAGGATTCTGAGATGGGCCACAGCTCATCAGGGGATGCAGACCTCGAGAAGAATGCGCTGGAGGAAGCTTAAGACTCCTTTGACAGCCTGGCAGCTTCATCAAGGAGACGTGCGACTTTCCGAGGCCGCGCACGATCCAAGGTCACCAATAGCAGTGCAGGGGATTCTTCTTCAGAGGACGAACAACCAGCATTCCTTCTAGACCCACTCAGTTTGCAGACTGGCAGTGAAGAGCACACACCACATTTTTATGAGTTTTCTGCCTCTCGCTTAGTCTGCCGTTTTATTCGGTTGCGAAAGCTGTTGTGTTTATTGTTTTGCAAACCTCTTATATGCTGTGTTGGCTTTCGGTTTTTTCTAGTTTTGCTTGTGGTTAGGTTTTCGTTTTTTGTTGAAATTCATTCTTTTTTTTTTTTTGCTTGTATTTGCTTGACTTTAAATTTTGTTGAATCCACGCTCCTATTTCTTTTGACCAGCAAAGTTTCATTGGCATCTAATTTTGTTGTAGTTTGACGTAGTTTCATTAAGTGCATTTTTTTTAAGATCAAAGTTAATCTAGTCCCATTCTGTCCAGACATCACACTGGTTCTTCAATTTTTTTAGATCACCAGTTTGATTGAGTTTGTTGTTAAACAATTCCTTTTTTTAAAGCGTTGTTTGGTTGAGCATTGCCCCTAAGCAATAAATTTTGGAATTTCATTTTTTTTTCTCCTCCTTTCTATAAAATTTGCTGTCGTCTGCCCTCACCTAATTTTCCTTGCGACTCCTCTCTATCCGATCAAATTTGAAGTTTTTATTTTAGCGAGTTCCCCAAATTCTGTTTTGTTTTTTTGTTTATTCCGACTTAGTTTAGGGTGCCATTTTCCGTGCTACATGTACATGCCTGTACATGTTCACCATGCAGGTCAAGCGGTGGCCTTATATCCTTGACCCAGATCTATGCCTTGGTTGAGCTGTGCGGGGTGATGTGTTGGGCCAACGTGAGGGGTGCACTGAACCAGTTCAAGCTCCGTTGAAAATAGTGTAAAATCAACCAAGTTTGCAGTGGAGCCCCATGGCAGGCAACCGAAGTACTTGAGCCTCTCAAAAAGGGGGGTTGTTTGGTCCTTCAGATTTCATTTGATTTTCAATTTTTAGTAGGTTAACCAATGAATTTTTTTAATTATCAGCCCAAAACAAACTCAACCCCAGAAAAGCGAATGTTCCCAAGTCTTCTCAGCGGCCATTTTTCAAATGACATCCCTCATCTTCTGGGGGCCCTTCTGACAAATTTTCAACCACATTTGTGACGTCTGCATTGCCCCAAGATGGGTGCCCCTGAATCTACAGAGATGTTTCTGGGCCATACTGACACAATCCCACTATTTCTTGGCTCAAACTGGCAGATCCCTCTTTTAGAAAGAATCTGTAGGGGTACTTTTTGTGCGCCTCGGCCTGGCGAAGAAATTTCCTTGAATTGGGACACTGCACCCTTAGGTTACCCAAAGTGTTCATGTGCAGTTGTTGCCCTTATCGAACGCTTTCTTCTGGACTTCTTTTGGGAATAAATAGCCAAGCTGTTTGTAAGATTTTGAGTTTTATTTGAATCGTTTTTATTATGGAATTTATACATAAAGGTATTTTATGAGATCTCATGATCACTCCCTGCGATCAGTGAAACAGCGCATTTTGTTTTTCGTCCTGTGATGTTCAACATGTTGTTGGCCAGTCTTAGCCAAACTCGTACAAAAAGGCTTTGAAAACTGATGTTTTGAAGTAACAAAATAAAATTATAAACATACATGGATAATGGAAAAGGGCATCAAAATCCTTAGATATACCAAACGACAAAAATAAATCTAATGTTAGACATTTTTTTCTTTGTTTCCTGGTCACTGCGACAAGTTGTAGTTAATTCCAAAGAAAACACCACAAATATTGTTACGATATTACTGGCCCCACTTGTCCGGCTAAGCTGCAGGCAATAATCAGGAATGTGACTATTGTTCGTACCTTAAAAATCAAAATCACCGTTAACAAAGTCTTCCGGTCCGTAGGCAGCCATGTTGGATGTAGTATTCCTAGATATACGCATGCGCGCAAGTGATAAGGCAAAATCCTTCCCATGATTCCTAGTGACAGCTGCTCGACCGCGCGAAAATTGAATTAGGGAGGTGTTTACATAAGAGGCTCATTGGGAGCGACCACCGTTGTTTTTACGATTGCGGCGACCACCACTGTCCATTTGAAGTCGATTTGTGCTCTCTCCTTCTGTTTTCCTTCCTCCATGGTCTGACCGGGCGGCGATGATCATCGAGCACTTTGATGTGCCAGAGTTGTAACTCCTTCTGTGTCCTTCCTCCATGGTTTGCAAGTTCATACCAGCTAGCATTGATACGTTGGACCGACGTCGGCAATCGTCGGAAGTTCGTAGTGGTATTTCCGGCGTTGCACTGATGTTGGTAAAATGGTCAAAATTTGGACGTTGGCCTGCCAACGTTCAGTCGATCGACGCCATTGGCAGTTGGTTTGTATAAATGAAGCCGAGGTTTCCTACGTTCGGACGTTAGCATCCAGTGTTGCAGTTTCCGCGCGCGACTGCCGATAAGCCTAGCTCTGTGGTCACCGCTGACGCCCCCAAAATAACAGTTAGACTTGCGACACGAATTCGCCTGTCACCGTGGGATATTGACTCCGTTTAATTTATGATATATATCAATCAATGTAATTTATCAGAA